TATTCACTCCAGAATGTAAGTATGACTCATAAATATATTAATTTTTTTACAAAGGGAGCACACTTTGTGGGTTATTCACAAACCCACGGATAACCGAAGTCCGGTTTGGATATCCTATATAATTTCTCCAGGTCCGCTTATAAGGCTTGAAATCCCATCTACGTATTATCCATCTATTACTTGTCCGTTGTAGGAGGTTTATAATATCATGGTTTCAAATGGATATAGAATTTAAAGTACGATGCAAACCTTTTTTTTTTTTAGGTAAGGCCGCATCACTCGAATATAATTTAGACCTATGCACAACCTACATACTGCTGAATGATTACTATAGTTCGTACCCTATCGTTGACTTTAGGAACCCTGTGATTTAACAGTGAAATAAGATTTTTCTATAGAAATACTTAGTACAACCAAAATACAGCCGTATTATCTACATATTTCGAACTATTTAGCCTGTATCATTATTTCAAAAAGAAAAGTGTCCGCTTTGTCGTAAAACGAAACATTTAGGTTTTTCACAGTCATAGAACTTGCCAAAATTCATCGAGCTCTTCATTGATTTAGAAATATTGGGAAAAAATGAGGGAAAACGAAAAATAACTGACAGACATACACCAGCGTTGAAACATTTTGCGCTTTCTTCTTCTACTGTTTTTATAGCAAATGTTCTATGAGCACATTAGATAAATTCATTATTGGCAGATTTTATTTTCAGTTTTTGAGGAGAACTGAGAAATAGTTAGATCCTTAACGGAAAGATTTTAGACGATGTAATATAATCAGAACTATACACTGTTTTTTTTTCATTTTCTTTCGTAATCGAATAGCTCAGTGGTAATTGTCCGACAGTCAAATCTTCCTACTAATTTTCACTGTCCGCAGGTGAAACGATTTAAGCCATTGACAACGATAAATTTGTTTAGCCTCGAAAATGAACGACTCGAGGACTATATTCAATACTTTAGAATAAACAAATAATATCCGATGAAAGTACTACACCATGCGGCACAGGATCACTATCCAAAATTACCTACGGGGCACCAAGCACAAGCTTAGCTGCGCCCCTCAGATATATCGTATCTGTGAACGCCTCAGTCGGTGGAAAACTCACGAAGATAATGACTTCCCACACCTCTAAGTATAATATAAGCCAGTGTGCGTCATTCTATCACAATGGCGCTTATTGATCGATTAGCATTTATTTTGAGCAATCTGGAAAACTATTTGTATACGTGTTTTTACTTAGTCCAGGTTCTCCTGTTTACTGTTTTTATATGACGAGGGTTATTTAGGTATAGACAAAAACAGATCCATCGATGGTTGTATTAGTGATATCACCCCGGGCTTGCATGCCGTTTTCTTTCTCTCTGAAAAGCTCACTCTGTTTAGAAACACGAATCATTAACCGTTTTTCGTACATAAATACTTTGTTATACGCTAGTTAGATCTGGTTAGCTATCTAAAAGACGCGACCATGCCGCGTATACTTGTCAGTTCTCCATTATCGAAATTTATAGAAAAAGTTTTTATATGTTACGTACAAAAAAAACTACAAGAAGTTCTAAGTCAATTTAAATAATAATAAAGTGCACAACGTTATCTTTCAATATACTGGTAAAACTGGCTATTTGGCCCACCGTGAGCATCTCGAAACGATCGCGTATTCAAATAGTCTACACTGAATGATGGAATAATAAAAAGAAATTGTATCCGTAACACCAAGCGCAAGATAACAGATAAATTATCCCTACTGATATTAATGTAAGTTTGCTTGTAGACCATCTAGAGACTAGTTTTACTAATAACGTCATTAATCAAAATCAGAACAAGTGTGACCAAAATTAATCATGACTGAATTTAATAAACGATGTTGCTGTAAATGTAAAAAAACCGAAAATGTTTTTCTTTCAGAACTTAGACATTAAATTTACAGAGCCCAATAGATTGACTTCACTTCAAACAAAATAATTTCCGCCGACAAACAAATTATGCATATATTTCACCGATAAAGCAAAGAAGCTAACCTATTCTGGTTGATTTTTCATCATCGACGTCGAAGGATTATTTTTTTTACCTTTTGCTTCATAGATCCTTTGAAATGAAAGCTTTACCGTTGTGTAGATTTTTTGGTGTCGACCGTCGAACGATGGAAGCGGTATGCCTGATATGAGCAAGCGGCAATCTAACGCCTGCAAGAGTGAGAGGGACCGCTAAGGACGGCAAGCCATAGGCATAGGTCGAGGAATTCGAGACTGAGCGGATATGTCCAGAAATCCAATTTGTGGATGTGAAGATTGTTGCCAGGGGAATCCCAGCATATACCGAACATTGTTCGCCATAGCTGCATGTGAAGCATGCATGCCCACGCACGTTTCAAAATCATGATCTATAAAGTGGTTCAGCCGGTGCATTATAATGCGCCAATCCTTATTCATCTGTTCTTTAACCCTCTACGCTGGAACGTGGCCAAAAGGAACCATTTTCTGCGGTAGGTGGAACATTGTGTCGCTTTGGACAAAACACGTCCAATGCTCCGTAACTAGCCGAACGCCTGAATTCTCAACCTTGCATCTGCGTCTTTCAAGCATTTCGCAAGCACTTCGTTAATTACAGACCTAAGGCTTCATTGAATCAGAAATCTAGGTCCGGATGCACGAGCATGAACGACAGGATTACGTTTCCAAATAAAGAAATCCATGTATGAGTATCGATCGCATTTTGACAGCCATACATTTCGTGATCCTCCGTTATTTGCATAAAATGAGCCTGGACATGGATAAGCGTAACGAACCTCAAGAGCTGTCATGAGTAAGGAAGATATATCACCTGTTGTACGAGACATGGAAGCAAAAATACACGAGGCTTCATAGACGGCCTCAGAGGCGTAACGTCGTCCTCGGACCATACCTCTTTTTGCCGCTATATGTGTACTCACCATTTAAATTGCATTGCTTTATCGACCAGTCCTTTTATGCAGTAGCTCAACCTAATAAGTCTATAGACTTCTTGATTCTCAATAGTTTACTCTAAACCATTTTTACGTAGATCAAGTTAATTCAGTCGGGAACAATGCCAGCAAGCTTTAAGCTTCCCTACTAGGGCATTTGATTTACCTGTTTGCTTTGAGAACCAGTACGCTTTGTCTCTTAGCTGCAGTGTACTTCTAGTACTATTCATATTTTGTCTGAATCTGAATCTGAACCGAATGCACAAAAAACTGCATGTCTGACAAAATCCGTTTCATTTATGCTTCTGTGAATGTGTGTAACTGAGAGAGCAAGGATTGCCGGTGAGATTCAAAAGCGAAGAGCAATATTGGACAACGTTTGCAAACGTCCTAGCCTTATGTCTGAAGATTCAAATTTAAGCTACAAACCACGCTCAAGACACCCTCATGAAGTCGATGAATATGTCTTGCAAGCTATGTTGCATGAAAATTCAGTTCAATTCAGCTAGCTCATTTATGGAAGGCAGAGCTGACATAGGCTTATTGGAAGTGGCATTGTCAACTGTCTGGGCATATACGTATCCTTTTGTTGCAAAAAGAAAAGTAACTTCTGTTCACGACCCGCATCTGAAAATGGAAAGGAAAGGACATGTTTTAAATGCTCACTTCGAAAATATTGCGTTTCTACACGATTTTTTAATGAAGATGGTAACTCGACTTAACTCGTCAAACTCAACGCTATCCAAGTTAGCTAAAAGATCGATGCTGTTCGGAACCATGGAGCACGACCTGGAGAATAGGCTGACGGAAAAAACAGGTGTGAAACTAAGTTTGCGAATAAATCGTTTCCTCGAATGTCTTCTGCATTTGTTAAAGGGCCTGTTTGTTGTCCGAATAGCAAAAAAAAGTCGTAGGAAACCAAAGAAATAGCTTTAAAGGAAAACTTACTTTTTAAAAAAAAATAGCGGCATTCAAAAGAGAGCAAAAAAATGAAACTTTTTTGCCAGATCTGATATAAGTACTTCCCTATATTTCATCGCGCGTTTTCATATCCATTGGATCGTTTGTTAAAAAAAAAGTCCTCATAGAATTGAGTTATATACACGCAACTTTGTATCTGCTATCGAAGTAATCAAATTATACTCATATCTGCATCTACATCTCGTGCATGGACAAAACTTAAAGGTTAAAGGGCGAATCTTCAAAACTGTGTTCTTTTTTGCTTAGTAAAAAAACCCAGCTAAGAAAATCACTATTCGTAGTAGTGTAGCTATTGACAACAGATAGCGGATATCGATTTTAATCCGACTTTCGACAACGATTGTCAGAAAAAGATATTCATGTGTACAGCGGCAAATAGAGGTGAAAACGTAAAGAAAATACCAGTGATTGATCTGACATCTACCTAACATCATCGCATTAGCAGGAGCCCTGAGGCCTGGGCCTCCGCCAGCATAAACGACGAGTCCCGGAAGCGTTGTAACGGCACCGTCTCACCAGCAAGTGCTAGTTGTCTAGCTGCTCGCATAGAAGATGATCATCGTAGCCCGTTTACCATCGCGGAGGTACACGACACGAAGCCGCTGCGAAACGATCTATCTAAATATGTGACATATGAACCAATGCAGCGACACGAACACGCAAGCATGCACATAAAAGTGTCCGATCCCAGAGTGCCGGCAGCGGGACCAGCTGCTGCTGGTGTTGATGAACGAAGAGCAATTGCAGTGCCTGGGATAAGGATGTAGGCAGCCGCAGCAATAGCAGCGTTAGTAGCTATGATAGCGATGGCGCTACTGAAGAGGCGTCATGCAACGTTGTTTTTCATACGGGCACGGCCGGGCGACGGACAGCAATGACACCAGCGGCAGTGCAGGAAAATAAGACCAGACGGCACAGGAGCAAGAAGGACACCCGAACCGGCAGGGCTCGACCAGTAGCAGTTGCTTCTGCTACAGCGGCAGCTCAGGCACCAGTAACAGAGCAACGGTACTCACTGCGGTAGCGGAGTGGAGCCATCAGCGATCACGGTGTCTCTTTCCTCTATACGTTCTTGTTCAGAGCGAACTCTCAGGACAGACTGCTGCATCAATGGATGCTGCACCATTTTTTGGTCACTTCACTGGCTCACACTTCAGCGTCGGTCGCGCGCGCGGGCAACACGTCGGATCACACGGACAGAAAGACACATACAAAACTCGCACATCGGACACACCGCCGGCGCAGGAGCGGGTCATTTCTGCTCTACTTCTAGACGGCGATTTCGCAGCCAGTCATCAGCACAGTAGCTGTCTATGGTGGTAGCGCGATGCTGGCTGTTAAAGACGATGTTACTAGGGCTGCAACTGGCTAGACCTCCAGCTTGAACTGTTCATGCTGATCGTCGGTGTCGGACGTTTTTGTCGCTGTGTTGTTTCGCACTGATCCCTGGTGACTCTGCTCTAACGGTACGATCGCTGCTGACGATATTTCTTTGAGGGGCCGAGTGAGGTGTGGCCTCAACCATGCTGCGCTGTTCCGTCGTCGCCTGTTTTCCCAATTTCTGTCTCCTCGTATGTCAGCGAAAGTGATCGAAGACTTACGCAGCCGGCCAGAGTCAGGTAGACGACGCATCGTATCAATCGATCGATCGATCGATCGGTCGGTGTTTCGGCTCCCTGTGGCATACTGTTTGTCTGTGTCTGAGTTTCGAACTAATAATAGAAGGACAAAATCGAACAGGGCGTTATCTGCCATCATGCGCTAGCACAACTGGATCTCGCTGTGCATTACTTTGGAGCATGTACTTTACTGAGTTGGCTTACTCTAATGTAAACTTTGCATAGTCCTAGATAGTTCTTCATGCTGATTCGGATTTGTGTGACATATTCGCAAAGCGTGAATCTTCAAACAGTGCTCCGCGCGCATTAAACAAGAAAACATAGCGTAGCAAAGAAAATTTGCGTTTCCCAGGGAATGTCTTCTAGTAGTGTCTAGGATTATGTTACTTTCACAAATTATGCTCAGTTTTCAAGCCGTCTGGTACTTCACGGTAAGTGCTCAAACATCTAAAACCAACAAATAAATTTGATAGGCAGAAATGTATCTAAGTAGACGATTTTGAGAATATTTTAGTTAAATGCATTTATAATATCCTATTGCATCCATATAAAAGAAGCTATCTAGACGCTTCGTTTTCGCGCTACGTTATCACTTCATTATAGCATGTGTAGAATGCAAAGCTGATTCTTCGATACCGATCAACCGCCGGTTTTTGCTGAAAAAAATCTATATATCATCTAACGCGTGTTGAATCGTCACGATCTGCTCGTCGTATCCGAGGTTTAAGCGACGATTACCATGCGCTGTGAGTCCCCGACGTCGTCGAGGTTTGCGTCCCGGTGCCCTATTTTCTGATGATTAATAGGTGTCGTCATCACTAATATCTTGTCTAACGCTTTTGTACGGCATACACCTGTTTACGAGAAATGCAGGAGCAATATAATATAATAATAATAAATTAGTATACGGGTACCAGCGTACACCTTTTTGACATTTTAAATAGTAGAGTATACAGCGAAGATAATTAGAGAAAAATAAAGCAAATTTGCCCAAAATGCATGGCCAACCTATGTTCAGTTCCACTTTCGCATTTATTGTTATAAATTCGGGAAGGTCATTTTTGTCGTTGCCGAGCAAACCGATTCATCAAAGACCAAACACTAGTACACGACTGGTCAAATAACGAAATTTAATTATATGAACGCGTTATATAAGTTTCAGAAAATATGATATGATTTGTGCAATCGCTCCTGCGTTAATACATCGTGTTTCACGTAGATATTGGCATATGACTAGGCCTTTTTATTGTCACTTAACTTGTTCTTGTTCCGCGATCATAATAATGTTGGTAAGATCATCAGAAAAGCTGGGTCTGCCTGCTACGGATTAAGTAACAGATGTACTAATTCTATTATTTTGTTTTTTCATCGTTCATTCAGTGCACCTTTCTGAAACCGTGCGCTTCAGCTGAAACTCTAGATGAGGTTCTATTCACGAATTAATAGGTTAGAGTTAGCGAAAGAAAGATCGGGATAAAACAAGACGCGAAAAGCATACGCCGGAATGTAATTTACGTTTAGGCAAACAAAGAATTGAATTTTGTTTGTCCGAGGCAATCACTGAGTAAGCGCCTCGACTTCAGCGCTGAGTGAGTAAGCACTTTATAACATATTATGAAGCGCCTTCAGCACCATTTGACCTTCTTGATAAAAGGATGGTTCGTGGCTTGAATTCTGCTCAAATGCCTGTTTTCAAACATTGATGGCTCTACCTATAGAGTCATTCTATATATTCGAAAGGTAATAAGCTCCGTCCGCTTGACCCAGACACACTGCTGTACCCTCTATGATATGGCGTGTTAAGATGTGACATAAATACAGCCTACCACTGTTCCAACCCTATCAGAAAGTATTCCTGAAAACGATATTTGCCGTATAATTACAGCATTCTAATCCGTTACTCTCGGCGCTAATGCAGTTTCATGTGTATGTTATAGCTGAACTAATAAAGAACTAAAAAAGTTTTGCATAGAAACTATGCACTTACCATACCGGACAACGGGTCAAATCGAACCAAACAAAGGAGATCACTGAGAGAAGTGAGAAAGTTCGTAAAATTATTTATTTTGATTTGTCCAAATACTGTATTATATATGAACACAGACCTCGTAGAGATCTCAATTGCTTTAAACGGTGGATTAATAGCTAGGTGCCACAAGAGTCAACAAAAATCCCACAAGCATATCTTATCTGTGCGTCGGTGCTTGCCGCTCTGCCGATACTGGCATACGATGTGGGAGTTTAGTCAGAACATACAATGAGTACATCGAATAAAGCTAAACAATCATGTAGCATATAAACATTAATTATAAATTCGTATAATAAAGTACATGAACAATTTACAATGCTAAAAATTGGACAAATATAACGAGCCCTACATTTAGTTCTATAAAAGAATGGCTGTAATCCACTCATGATAATGCTGTATAAATGTGGATTTACTTAATCAACAAATACCATGTTTTTCCTTATTTAGCCCATTATCCAGCGAACGTTTGGCTGTGCCATGATCGCAGTAGTATCATAAGCGTAATGGCGGGCATTTTAAATAGAGGGGTGTTGACAGGATGTACGTCCTCGCATCCTGCACAAATAGAATAGAAGGAATTATTCAATTATATCTCTATGCAAGCGCCGGTTAGGATCGAAATTATTGAGCAATCTCGTGGCGACTGTCGTGACGTAGGCTAATACACGTTTTGGTTTTCCTTTGTGTACGTCAGCTGGGAAGTACGAATGAGCAAGTATTTGAAGAGCCACAGATTTTAACAAGGCTAAATTATTTACTTGGCATGGACTAAATTGGTTTTGACCCGCTGCCCGTATATTATTATTCCATAAAATTTCCGTCAGAGATAAGATATATCCAAAGACTATCTCTTATTTTATCCAATTTCATGGTGTTTATATTAGAAGAAAATAAATTACTTTCAATCATAAGTGATTAAGTGACCAACTATCAAATTATGCATAAGCTATAATGAGATGTATTTGGCATTTCGTAATTGTTGGTATACCGCTGTGTTCCAGGTACTGGTGGTGTGTAGCTTGATATACACTGTAGTTGGTAGAAGCCAAATGAGCTGCGGATCTCGACTGGGAGCTCGTGCCTTTGTGCATCCTCCGTGCGACCTTTCGAGACGAAGCTTTTGTGTCGAACCCGGTGATAGCTATCCATGGTTAGTCATTGCACCGTACCTCTTAGGTTGATCACGTTATCATATACGTGTGAAGTTTTTTTTAAACACATTTTTAGGATGAAAATAACGGTAGGACTAGTAAGAACATTCAGACATTTTCTTCGTCAACAAATAGAAGCAACTTATCGTCTATAATGTCTCATCATACTAATTTTTTAGTTATAGAGAATGTACAACAGCACTTTTATGATTCATCTCTAACATCCTATTTAGTCAACACAAAGATACAAGATAATTAACACCAATGATTCACTACTTAAACTTCCATAAATAAAAGCCGACAGTAAGCCGGAGGTAATACAATCCTATAGAGTTTCGTAAGAGCACAACTGTGGGTCACTTTTTAAACATTTTGAAATACTATTGGTATTTTCCAAGTAATATTCAGAAAACTGCACCTTGATCATACACACACACAAATACAAATTGTTTTCGTTATGAGGTACGCAGCGACGGTTCGAGCGGTACTTTCACTTGGGCTCCGTTGATGACATTTGTTCTTCCAAAGGGCTAATACAAAACAGATGCGAGCGCTGAACGGTTCTTGCCGTTTTATCCGGCAAACTGTATAAAGGACATAACGGTACTTCTGCCTCGTGTTGTTCCTATTACTTGGATCGGTACGCGAATAATCACAACTACCTCTCCTGTCTTCTTCCGAAAATATGTATCAACAGTTTCAACCAATGAACGCAGTCAGTACTTCTTGCGCGTTACGCATTTTATTCACATGATTCTAAAAGCCCGTCTTGCATTTGCGAAACTGATTATAAAGCGAGAGGAAAAACAGCTATTTCTACGAATTGGTAATTCACTCAACAAGCTTGAAGCGTTGAGTTGATATTCTGTCCGTTAAAAATGGATAAACTTTCCTGTTAATTATTAGGTATACTTTAACAGCTTTAAGAATCGATGGCTTTAAAGGTTTTTTTTACATGCTCTACTCTATTGTCATACGGTCACTTTGTCAACTATAAGACTGCATATTGAATGTAGGTTTGTGTAGGACTCCGAAGAAAGTGATTTCTTCGTTCGTAGGTCCTTCGTAATGTTTATACAACTTTCCCTCTAAAAAATACCAGTCTTTTATCGAGAGGTAATACAAGCCTTAAAATCCTTTTCTATCAGAAACACCGGCTTTTTTCAAGCTTGTTTGACAATTCTAGAAGGCTTCATAACACTTTATTTAAAAATAAAGTATGAAAAAAATAAATTTTTTCCTTCTAAGTGTATGACGCCACTTAGGCATAAAAGGCCAGACTTGTACACCTGTAAGGATTGCCAAAATAAATCTAAAAAAATTACTCAGTTCTACAGTCAGAGAAAGTGGAGCCCTTGTTTATTTAGCAAAGCAAGTTTCTCAAAATTATTCATTAAAACAACTCCATTGGTAGCCGCCCGTTGAGTCAGCTCAAGCAATACTGGCTCTCCACAAATGCATCTTTGCAATCATTGTTTTATGATTGATCATTTTAAGACGTTGTAAACTGTATATCGTTATGAGTATATGCTTTGACACCTTTAGATCCACCGGGAAGCTAGGTACGAACGCGAGGGCAGTAAATCAAACGTAGTTAGTTCCGCGTGTGTTACTATGGCAATGACTGGAATCACGGAAAATGGCTTTCAGTTTAAAGAAAGCGTACTAACGTCGGCTTTTCCATATCGCCCATCCAAAAAAAGCGTGCTCGATTTTCGACAAAACAATTTTATCACTTGATTTTTGACTTCAAGTTAATTGTCATTCGGAACAGAATGATTGTCTAGAGTGAGAAGCTTATTGTTGCTTAGATATCTTTTTAAATAGGGCTGTAAATTAAATGGTTTGCTTTTAATATTTTTATAGAGAGCTTTCACGTCTATGGGCATATTATTCGCGCTATGATTAATTAGGTTGACCCCAGAAATATGTATGTGCTATTGCACATTTGTCGCTAATACAGTTTCACAATATACTCGTTAATTTAAAGCGAACAATCGCGTTAACAGGAAAGCCGTTCGACGCTACATTTACGAGAATCAAGGTCTTATGCGACGAATGTACGGAGACCAAAGGCAAGGGGAGCTACTCACGCAAGAAGTTGTACAAGAACGGAAAAGATTTGACAGCTCTGCGCGCAGCGGTCGCCTACTGCAAATTTTGAACGAGCACGATATTCAAGATCTTCAAAATATTGACGAATTACGTGCGTTAGTTCAGAGAGCTGGACATTTCGGTGAACATGAAAACCTCATGAACGGTCAACAAGCAACAATAGAGCCTCGACGGAGCGTCCGTTTTAATAGCAGGTATGTCGTCTCGTGCTGAAAGATCACTGGGTGTCGCCAAACCTCTGCGGGGTAGTCACTTGATGGACATCTTGACCATGTCTATTAAAAATGGTATCAAGTTTATAAAAACAGGTCGACAAAGACAAGGTAGTTTTAAACTAAATAATGATCTCACTGCACACTGTTAGCGCCCCAACCTAAACCAATTACACAGCCATGGCCTAGGTGAATTAGAAACAAAGAAGCATTTGGGGAGTATCTGAAGACCGGGTCTGAATAGCAAAACTATGCTGGACATGCTCTGGCCATGTACTCACTACGATAAATCTAATTGTATGAGTGTGTTTGTGTGTGTGTGTCAGGCAAATTTGAGCTGACCGATCGCATTAAGGTGTTTTTTGCACTTGTTTATTCATTATTACGAAACAGATATTCATCTTTCGACGATCCACTCTCTGTTCCCGTAACAGAAGATGGTGCTGATAGTGAACTTTTGCCATCATCTCCAACGCCTCCAGACCAAAACACGCAGCGTCATTCGTTGCAGTCACAGCCAGATCCTCCGCAAGAAAACGTTTCTTCTAAGAGCCGCGGTAACTACAACGCGCAGGAAACATCTAATGCTGATTTCGGAATGGCCGTCGAGGAGGCTGAATTAAATAATGATCATGTCGAGAAGGGTGTAACGATCCCCCAAGTAGAAACAACCTCAATGATAGCTGAGACAATGCAGACTGGTCCTAATCCGACAACGCAAAGAGCCCCAATTGGCCTCAGTAACATTGCAGGTTTGTCCTGTATCTTTGAAGAATATTACACATTAAAGCCTTGGCAAAATATATCCCTTAACTTATTTGAAGATTTGAACCTATTAATACAGCGAGTCCATCTCTTATTTCAGAGCCTTTCTAAATTATATAAGCTAGCCGAAAAGACCTCGTAACCTGTATGATACTTGCAATGATTATACACTTCGTATTGGTAAATACTAACTAATAACTAAATAAATAACTGAACCGTTTTAGTAGATTTTCAATCAAGCCCGAAATCGATTTTATTACTTAAGTCAGATGCTATGCCATTATTGCCAATTTACTTAACAGTTGCAGCTAATCTAGAGGTGTCGTCTGAAGGAAGCGTAAGCGTGATGGCATCAGGAAGACCTCCAGGAACGAACCAGAAGCCCGGAAGTATGTACATTTTAGGTAACTTCTTTCGTCCATTCGCATATATAGTATATTAGCTGTCAGTAGTCTTATTATGCACGGTTCAGCTGAGAGCTTCTTTTCATAAGTAACAAAACTTGTCCCATTTTATGCCATTAGACGAAGCGTACGTTGTCAGCTACATAGTATTAAAATAAATCAGAGTATATTTGATGATATTGGTCAGGTTTGCTTGAAATAAATGAGCCATCAGTTACAACAAAGCCTTTAGAGGGCGCAACGGTATGGACAACCATTCCAATGAAGAGTTCAACGACAGAATTACCAGAGGTACTTGCAATGTATACACCACATACCGATGACGAGCGGCAACCTGACGATGAGGTAAAAACCGACGCAGATGTTAATTTACAATACATAAACTTGATTGCTGAAATCAATTTATTTAGGCTCTAGAATACCTAAAATATTCCCGTAAACTCAAATCTATGTGAATAAAAACTCCACTAATGTATTTCAATTGTTTTATTAGTAGCTGCTGTCGATTTCTTTTAAATCTTTCGTTACGTGCTTTGGTCTAGCTACGGCCGGACGAGTTGAATCGGATTTAGGAAATAGATAAAGATGTCTTTCAAGGCCACGCGCTCAAAGAGTATACGTTGACTGTTGATCAAGCAAGTTCTGGCATTTCCGGCTTACTATCCGTGACAACACTTAAAAACTGGTACAATAAAGGCAACAGTCAATATATCGCCAACCTGCAAATGCAACTTACGTCGTTATTTGCAGTTGCCGTTCTCTTCCATCGACGTCCCACTTGACGCTAAACGGCTTGGGGAGTCGAATAAGATCAGCGAAGACGATTCAGCAACGTTAAGAACGTCCCCTACAGCTGATATAACAACGCCAACGTCTATCACACCTACAAAGGTTACAAATGATTCTTCCTGGAGCAGTATTAATGAACAAAATGCAACTAAGAGCTCGATCGAGCCTCTAAAAGCAAGCGTTTCCAGCAACACTGTACCATCGCGCAGGTATAAATCGTATCAAATGTTCGATCTGTCACAAATACCTGACAGTTTCTACTTTGTATCATGTATGAACGCCTGACATCAAATGAGAACGAATTATAAGCATATATACGATATGTATGACATTTGTCAACAGAGTCTGAATTGAAAAAGGAGAACACAGTCATTTTGGTTTTATATTCCTGTCATCCTTTCGCTTGTCACATGGAACACACTCTCCCCTAAATGGCTTATTACAATACCAAACTATTGGACCCAGTATATAATGGACAAAATCTAGAGTGCAAAGCAGTCAGTTTCTAAGGTGAAACAGGCTTTTTACTATTACCCTCAGGCCTTCTGAGCCTCAAATGCGATAATTCTTCCTGTTCCGTAGGTTAGCCTATTCACTTTAGAAAAGACGGGCTTTATCAAATGGCCGTTTTTTACATTAATGGTCGACCACATAACTGGTTTCGCTCATAGGACGTTTTGGCGCCGTGTGGAAACAGATCAGAGTTTTCGAGCGTTTGCCACCGAAATAACAGTTTTCTTTGCCCGCGATAGAAGGTTTGTTCTTAAAACAAGTTTCGACAGGGCAATGGGACGCTCTGTATGTGCCGATTAGATGTATAAAAAACAAAAATAATCCCCAAAAGAGACCCCAAAAAAAAACTCCACCTATAGAGACTTTTCTTTAAGTAAATCAACGTGTTATTGTTGACATAATATTACTTATATATATTATTGATATAATACCAATGCTTGATCGATAACAATCGATCAAGCATTGGTATTAATGTTGTTAAATAAACTTTGCCGTTTCCTCAAATATAAAAGATTACGTTCTAGATTAACTTTCTTATTTCGAGGTACGCTCTTCCTAAATAAAGCTTTTTCTTTTATAGTTTCGTTCTCTTTCACAACACACTGATCAGTAATACAAACCTACTTAATAAAGGAGAAGATTCCCTCAGTAAACACAGGTTCAACCGTAGTCTTTGCGTCACATATTCCTTCAGTCTTTTCTTCGTTTTCACGCGATCTGAAAACTTTTGCTTGTAGGAGACCTCCGCCAATTCTCGATGTACCAAGACCTATGCCCACAGAAGAAGATCAATCGACAGCGGATCAAATTAAGGGCATGTAAGTAGGTCTGAATAATAATTGTACAAGTAGCGACATATCGTACCGATTTATTGGTACACGGAATTGTGTTCTAAGTAAATAATATTATTCACTTTGGCTTATCTTTATCATGCTTTATTTCCTTTAAGTGCTGCGTGTCCAACGAATGAAGAAGTTGTATCCCCATATTGGGCCAACAACACTCGTGGCGAGGTTCTGGCACTTCTTAATGTACACCCTTTCGAACAATACATCCATTCGGAAACCTGCGCGTAAGTAACGTCGCAAATCATCTATGGGTAATTGCCTTCGTGCTGAACAAACACAGTTATTCACTTCAGAGCATGATGAAGTATGGCAGCTAGTTCTGCCAAACAACACAATCTATGCCGGCATTTTTGATTTTGCATGCATAAGTAGCTGAGGGCCGAATCATGGGTTATCCAAATTTCAGGCAGGTAACTCCAACAACAATTGACATTTCCAACGCTCTACCAGCGAGGTCGCAAAAAAAAAGCAGAAGATTTTTCGTAGGATTTCTTACTGATGACCGGTTTTTTATCAAGCAAAAATGACACCTGATTTGTTACTGTGATTTCTCTTATGGATGTACGGTGGATCTTCATGAGACAGGCGTTTCATTGGTTACAGAACTATCTTCATTCCGCTGATTTTGTTTTAGATTCAACAAGGAGCAGATGCTATGTCGCCGGGGGTGCCGATGTGAGCAACAATTCCGACTGCATCGGTTGCTGGCGTTCGATCCACATGATGACTGCCGCGGAGTATTTTCCGACTGGTTCCGATTCCCTGCAGGATGTGTTTGCGTCTGTTATGATCTTTTTGGCCTTTCTGCCCTTTTTAAACTATAACTTGCCGTACCGTGACTTTTAATATATTTTGATAGAAATTTTTATTTTTTGCAGAAAAACGACACAGTTTTATATGGGAGGACATTAGCTAATGCTTAGATAATATGCAGGACATACGAAACGAATCCTTGCGAATAAGAGATCGGCTTACAAATACAATCCCGAAAGTTATTTAGATCGTTTGTATGTTAAATTAAGAAGTGCGGTCGTTTCATGAGCTTTTTAAAGGTCTTGATTTGTTTAACTGAGTCAATTTAGGTTCGTGCAAAACAATGTAATTCTCTTCTTGAGAAGCCAATAAAGACGAAATAAAGTACGTTCCGAAATTCTAATAATTGCCGTTTATGTTCGGAACCAGAGGCGACCATCAACGCTATGTATGTCCAGGTAATATGTATGTCATTGCAGGTAATAACAAATAGTAAATGTGAAGATGCAGTGGGACGTACCAACTGATAGAGGAAAAACAGAATTTAAAGGTGATCCCAAAAGTAGCTTGTTGACGAAACCAATGCGTTTTGGCAAAAATAAAGTACAATACGCTAATAATACTTCATGCTTTAATAATGTCAACGATCCTGTCCTTCCTAACCTACCCATGATAATTCCACCAATCTAAAGTTTACAGTTGTTTATACAATTATTAACTTTAAAATATTTTTGAAAATTTTTGATATTTTACCATTTATGTGCTAAAATATAGGACAAAACCAAAAGTGGGCAGCTACAGTTGAAGCGAAGATGGAAGTAGGTATGTATATTAATATAGATATGTATATTAAAAATATATATACACGTGTGTATAAAAAATATACACGAGAGATGTGATCAAATAAACAAAACACGTATATTCAAAAGAGATATTTTTACTTAAATCTAGTTCTTAAATCTGTCTCTTATTTTGTGATATCCATGTCACTTCACAAATTACATAGTCACTATATAAGTGCCTTAAATAATCGCCTGCACTATCTACACAATATTTTCGTAACGTTTAGGTATAGATTTATATATAGTTGCTTGTTGCCGTTGGTCATTTCACACGCATTCACGGTATACCCGGTTTCATTTTGTCAATAAGCATAGGGGTGCTGTGTATAGAAGATATCTCCGTCAGCGTGCTGTAACCCTAAAAAAAATAAGTGGCTACTAACGGATTAGATTAGAACCAGAACAAACACAAAATAACGCACATTTCATGATCTGGCCAGTCACAGCTTTTTCGCCAAAGGCAGAAGAGCAGATTACCCCAAGTCAATTAAGTAAAAGGTAAAGAGTTAAACCTTACTGGTCCCAGCTTTCTAACAAAATGCAGAGCCTCGTAACTACTTAGGATATTTATTCGAAATAGTAAGATAAGCAGAGCAAAGGCAGGTTTTCTGAAACAACCACAGTTTGTGTTTTATAATTTCAGTGAACGTATTAACAGTAAACTAGATGAACAAATCTTGAAAAATGAATGACAACAACAAAAATGTCCGAATGTTAGCCTTATATGCTGCAAATATTCTGACATGAAAAATTCTAACATAACGCCGCTAAATAAATAACCAATTTTTTTCAATAACATTCACAAGTAACAATACCATGGTATAAGTGATTCTATTATAATATGATAGTTTAAAAAGTACCCATGCAGTGCTAATTACGAACTTGTTGTTATTTTTACAAGTTTCATTTCGATTAACTGAATGAACAGAATATCTGTTGCGTTTGGTAAATATCCATAGCGATTGTTACAATTGGTCCAAGTATATTTACCAATGAGTAAGTTAAGGAATTTGCCCAACAATACCAAGTGACTTTGGAGTCGGTTGCTCTTCATACTGGCTTTACTCTATAATTCCGTTACCTCATATACAGAATTTTATATAATAGCTTAGGCGAGAAATTCTGTATAATATAATAGAGGGATGTTGGATATAGGGATAGCCGTATGGAGCAGCAGCTGATAGGGGGTTAGAGTCAAACGATGTGTCTAGTGTTTTTTTTTGACAAATCAAAAGTTACTCCAGAAAAACATATGTATCAAAAAATATCGTGTTAGGAATAATTATTTTATGAAAACTTGCTTAGTCACTAAATTCACTTAAGGCGACTTCATTTATTTGTAATTTCTATTACTACTTTCTCATGTTCTGGTTCCTTCGAGTAATAGTCACTGGCATTCCATTTCTCGATCTGAGAACCATTTCCGCAGAGATTTCAAGTTTGTCGATTCCAACTAATGACCGAATTGAGAAATCGCGCAGTAGCCTTGACAAAACAACTTTTTCCTCCATTAGTGCAAAACGTTGACCTGAAAATAATTCGGATCATTTTATTAAGTCTTGAATGGAACCGTAAAGAAATTATCATATTAGTATTTAGCAACAATAGATAAACAAGCAAATCTTCTCTACAGTATCGAAGTGTTAATACATATACCACGATGGCATTCGGTCGATGCATTATGTATGTCCCAGGCGGCCGTACTAGGAATCAAGGAAAATACATCTCAAATCTCTGAAAATATTGGTCATTATTAAGAACTTTTACATATATATATTGCTAGGGATCCTTAATTAGGCATGGAGTGAACTTTCGAATATAGCCGAAACCAACGGGTATGGTAAATGCATAATTGTCACTAGTCATAAGTAGGTATAACAAGAAATATATAAATATGCCTTTTAATCCGGCACGATTTTTTGGACAACTCATACACACGGATCTATCAACTCAAGCAGTAAATAATGTTAGCTGCATAAAACTCGAACTGAGACAGCGCGGCTTACGTACGTATTTGGAAAAAACGTTCCATTCCCGGTATCTAACCACCGATGTTTTGTATATCAGCTTAAATAAACTGATAGCTCGACCACAAGGTTGCTCGTACGCCGTATGTCACAAGGGTAGATATACTAAGATGATAGTCTAATAATGAGTATTTACACACATAGTTAAAAGCTGGAACAATTGTTTTTTGGTCGAGTTAGACGTTTACTTTGAATATATTCTTATCAACGTGACTGCCCTTTTGAACGTACTATTCTAAAGATACTGGTTATGCGAGCACGATTTGCTCTACACCGATTTTTCCCAGCAGAACAGTTTTTAAACTGTTCTGCGGTTTATAATTATGCCATCGTAATCTGGTCTTACGTTGCAGAAGGAACAGTCGCTAGCTAATGACGAGAATACCTATATATATATCTATCAACATAAAAAATATATAAACATTAGTACTATATTATAGTACTAATGTTTATATATTATTTTTTTGCATTACATTCATAATAATTCTCAAAGCTAAATGATATGCATAAAATGCATATTTGTTCTTATTATTAGTTTTCCTTCTCACATAATAGTTTTGATTTTGCTTCGCTGAGTTAATGAATCAAGTAAAGTCACTATTGCCAATTAAAATGAGAGATCTCGCTTCTTATAAATAACGAATTTGTAACGAATATATTCTTTGGTATCTTTACAGTAAATCTTCTAACTTGCTCACCTATACAATTTCTAGGTCCTGCTGAGAACGGAATATAGGCAAACGGATGTCTGCCAGTCATATTCTCAGGAAGAAATCGCTCGGGTACGAACTCCTCTGGTTTAGGAAACGTTGCGCTGTCCCGATGAAGAGCATAAGAAAACACCAATACTACGCTTCCCAGGGGTATCCGATAGTTACCTGAAAACGTTCAATTTTGCATCATAAATTATATCAATACTACAAATAAATAGAAGGAAACGAGCGTAATAAAAACACATTTGGAACATTCAGTACGTCCCCAAGCTTAAATTTTGCATAAGGGAGCTTGTTACAGGTTTAAAATACATAACGATATAACATATCATTTTCATAAGTTCTTTAATTCTGCATATATCATCAAGGGCTTGACGTATAGGCTATATATATTTGCACGTAACTCCTGATTTCTAATTGGTATGCCTTGTGTTTTACGTATAAAATCTGCTACACGTTCTGGATATTTCAAGGCGGTAGATGGGGTTATGCCAAAATTTCTTCCGAAACATCTCAAAACCTAAATTTTCCATCAATTTTAAGTACATCAAAGCCTTCTGCCTGATTAAATGAATCCCCTCTATATCTATTAGGCAATTTCACATACTCTGCATATCTTTCCACTGAGATCAAGTGTGAAAAAGCAAAGATTCGTGAATCTATCCACAATATGTACATCAAAGGCCTGAGACGGCTCCTTTGCAGTCATTAAGACATTGTGCTGCTGCTTTCGGATTTAAAAACTATAGAATTTTACGTGTATAAATTTAGTAATAGTTCGGGATCACATCTTAATTATTTGATTACACCAGAGGTGCAAAATCGAATATCAAAATGATCTTAAAAAATATCTTGTATATTTGAAAGATCGGTATAAAATAGTTTGAATTAGAGAATGCTACGAAGTAAACAGATAAAAAAACTTTCGCCAAAGTAAAAATTTTTTAAAATTTTTACTTCGGCGAAGATTATTGTAAAAAATTATTTTGGTAAGCGTTGAACGAACGCCAACCAGCTTTTGCGATAGTGGCGAGTCTAAATTGACATTCTTCCCTATGCTTTGTTTCTGAGACTGTTTCAAAAAAAAAAACATATTTAGCAGGGTTTTGCATATGGTTGAAATATCAATCCTAATGTCAACATAGCCACCATTCGCCGCAATTACAGCTTCCATTTGGGACCTAAACCACTTACTAATCACTTTCGTAATATTCTTTCTTTAATCTCCAAGTAACTTTTTGATGACAAGCATGTGAGACGTGATACTGGAAGATGTCAATTCATTAAAGGTTTACTAAAATAAGCTTATATAAAAAAAAGGCTGATAGCAGGGCAAAGGTCCTGAAAATACAAGGTTTAAAAACGCCAAGGAGTGCGAAACGAACGCATTCTGATTAGGGGAAACCACCTGCCAAAGTTTTCTCCAATTCTCTGAACACGCTACCTTGTACGTTGCTGTATAATACTATACTTTTGTTATTACGCAGCGCAAATGGACTGTGATTGAAAAATGGTGGAGTAAAAGTTGTCGTGGAGGTGCATACGTTCAATTAAGCGAGAAACAGTTAATCAGCCTTTGTATAAATTCTCGAGCCTTTTTTTTAAATCTGCTACTAAATGCCTAGATACTAAACACAATTTTGGCCGTACTCACAAAAACTCATTATGTGCTTGGGCCGTCAACAGGGCTATTTGGCATGGTGTCGACGAATTTTCGTAGATTCAACAGTGATCGCATCTAGTAAGTCCAAATGTATAAGCTACTGTTGCTAACTTATACTGCATTTGAGTGTTTCGCTTACATAGGCATACTTATTATGAAACAAAATATATTTCTAGGCTGAAATGAGATATTATCAATAAGCATCACAAAAATTATATTATCTTTGTCATAGTAATCTTATGAAATGTCTTCAGCTCTTAAGGCGCTTAGAAGTACTCCTTGTTCAGGACACCAACAAACTTAGAACTGTAACGAAATTCAAGTGGCATTCTGTTTGAGATACACTTACTGACATCGAAAGTCGTATGAACTTCTCGTCCAATAATCGGTACAGAAGGAAAAAGACGCAAAGCTTCCTTAATACAACATTCGAGATATTTCATCTCACGTAAATCATCCACGGTCGCAGGCCGTCTGTCCTCATCGTTCTTATTGTTACCCGTGTGTCCGTCTTTGGTGAAAATGAGATCCAGTTCTTCCTGACACTTGCGCTGTGCTTCGGGATTGTGGCCAAGAAGAAAAATAGTCCAGGATAAAGCCATCGCTGTTGTATCATGACCCTAAATAGTTACATTCCGACGCAAACAACATAAAGGACCAAGTGTGAATGAATGCATCATTACATATTTATCTAAAGGACATTCAAAACCAAACTTGAAGGATCCAGCCGAACAAGTCGTTACCTAACGACACAACGATATATACTTGATACAAAATCGTATGTCATTATTTCAAAAAAACAAGATTACTCAAATGTGTTGTTCTTCTCATCAGTCTGATAAACACCCGCATGATTATTTAATGTTAATTATTATTTATTTTTTTTGTTCTTATTTTTTTTAAATATTAATAAATAGTTTAAATAATTTTCCACTTTACATAACCAAGCGACGCATAATATTTAGTACTAGATAAGGAGAAGAGCTTAGTAGACCCACACTTGTCAAAAGTGGAGTAGACAATATTTTTCCACGCGTCTTACAGTATTGAACAGAACAACAGGGCCCCCCGTATTACAGTGATTAAGATGCTACTTCTAAACAAAAGGCAAAAAATAAACAATACTACTTAGTAAAGAGGCCTTTTCCACATGCATTTCGTAAGGCCGGCTACACTCCGAAAATCAACCAATGATAGCGTACCCTATTTAACGATTTCGTTAGCACATATACATGTGTATATACATATCTGGCCGAAAAATGACACTGTTCTAAGTTCTTTGTAGTTTAAGTCAGAATTCGCAGGTAATTTAATTGTTGGTTAAAAAAATAAAGCCATGAAATGATACATTTTCGAAACGGTTAGTCCGATGTTCAGGTGTATGTCGTAGTGTAACATTGTAAAACGAAATTTATATTTGCATAAATTGTTTTTTTTTTATAGATTAGAAGATAATTCAGAATCAGCAGGTGCTTTAATTAAGTTATTTTTGACACCTATTAGAAAGGACACTGGTGCATTGACACCCGGAGGGATGGCACAACAACGAACGTACCTCGAACATGAACGTATCCACTTCCTCGCGAATATCTTCTTCTGGCAAAAGTTGCGGATTTTTTAGGTGTTCGTCCAAAAGTAGGTCTAGGAAAGCTAAACGTTTTTTGAAGTCCGAACCGCCCACACTCCGATCTAGAAGTTTCTTCGCTTTCCTTTCTCTGATTACGCTAGATAGCAGTAGTCAATTACAGGTGCATTCGTGCAAGAAACAGACATTGATCAGAACGCAAACCTTCTCATCACTACAACTATATGAACTCAAACGACAAGTAAAGCAGATAAATGAATCAACCTAGAAATACGTAATTAGTCCTATTGTGGAATAATTACGTTCAGTACAACTCCAGTAAAACTAAAAGGTTTTACCTTAGGGTTAGTTAGCTACCATATATCACTTACTTAAATTCTTACTTATACTTGCAAATTTCGAGTGATTTTGCTCCTAGATTATTTGAATAGATATTAAGATTTGGCTACATGAGGAACTTCCTTCGGTGTAGTAAATAGGTCCTGCAGCATTACAAGGGTTAAGCGCATCAATAATCTATTCTCACTTAACGTCCACTGCATCTCCTGGGATAATCATAATGTTAAAACAATATAAAATTTCACGCTTATCTAATTTTTGATGCTGTGAGTTGAAAAAAATCATGCTCAGATTACTAAACGACTCTTTCATGGGGTTGTTTTCTGGTTTTTAGAGCAGTATACTTGCTGACCAATGTTGCCGTTAACAAGTATAAAAGTTGGCCGCGTCCAAAAGCCAAAACAGTAGCATCTTCACTTAAAGAGCAACTTAAAAGGCGAAGATAGCTGCCACCTATATCCTTCTCGCCTTACGAGGGCTTCCTATATTTTTTAGAAAGTCCCCAACGCTACAGAAGGCCCATCAGTGCAACCACGACCGTTCAGTCTTTTGAGACTTAACTGCCTTAGCCATCTAGTTTCATCACTGCACGATATTATTATTTCACAGAAATGTTTCATCTATTATGGTTCTAATTTTTATCTTTTTGGGCCAATAATTGACAGATTCGAACAGACCGTTAATGTCAAATGGCTTCCCGCCTATACAAACCCTTTGGTAAAGGCGTGTATTCCTTTAACATGGCGGTCAAATGCTCTGCCTTCTTGTGTCATCAGGTATAGGAAATCCGGATAAAGCCATGGTCTGACGATTCGTTCCAGAAAAAATCGACCCACAGCATAGACGTCATGGACATAAGCAGCGTTTGATCCGGTCTGAGCACCGATTCTGACACCCATTGCAGTTTCTGAAACCACAAAAGTGTTTAACAGATTATATAATAGTCCACAAATTCAACCCGCTGACTGTTCGGGGTTTGGTAACACGGTTTAGGGCCTAGCAAACTATTGGTTAATCAACCTTATTTTCACGTTACAAGATGATGTTTCTATTTTTGTTGAGAGTTCAACATATAATGACTTACTGCTATTATTATATAATTACTTATTATATATATATATATATATATTTGACACAAATTATTATAAATATAGCTACGGCTTAGAAATCGGCGTTTATCCTGGGCCAAATACTAAATTGAAGATTAGCCTTTTAGTAAATGCAGCCTAGAGCATGTCATGGCGAGATTTGTTAATTCAAAGTACTTAACGTTTCCCTTTTTTGCATATTTTTCTGTTGCTTTGATTATCGGCACAATGGACATACAAAGTATGGTTTGCGATGAAATTTTTGTTTACATTACATCATAACCAGTATATTTTCGATAGCCCATCTCATAAAAAAATTATTTTTGCTTCTAGTCTGTTTCCAGCTATGGTCATTTTTTGAATAGCTTTCTGAGGATTGTTACATTTGATACAAACGAGTGATAATTGACTGAATGACAACGCAAATTGAGACCTGAATGATAATACGCATCTGCTTAACTCGTAGGCCCTCGTAGGATTCAGAAATCGGAGTATGTTGCATATTATCATTTAGTGATTGATAAATGACATATTTGTCCAAAATCTATTCCATAACGAAATATCTCAAATACCATTGATTGGTGTTTCTACGAGTAATCATGTTTTTATACTGCCGGGTACTAATTGTAATTTAGATGGAAATATGTATAGAAACTGTCAAACCTGTATTCGAGACCACGCCATCCTTGAAACTCGACTCTAGTTAATCCGCAAGATAGGGATAGTCAACACAAAGTTACAACTTCAAGAGCGAAAACGACGCTTGTCTCTCACCAGCGAATCTCAAACAATCATAAACAGACGGCTTTTGCGCCATTATATGGTGCGGTCAGCCTTATCCCTTAGCAGTTCCGCACTATCCTTCTTCCGCCAGATTGTCATATCCGCATAATAGGCGCAGCTGATTTGCTGTACCTTTTCAGGGTGGCTAGTGGTTATGATAGTGTGGACCGGAGATCGTCTGATGGTTGACGAAGTGTTCAGTGACTTGCGAGCGAGAAAACGCAGTGATGCCTGTGGACGCCCGGGCCCTCTTGGCGGCCCTTGGGGCCCTTGTGTGCACCATGTCCATATCGTTGCATCGGATAGAAGAGGGACACATCGGCGTCTACTACAGGTTCTTCTTAACACAATCCGTTATCTAGACCAACAAGTTGAGGGTCGACAACTTAACATAGAAGTGGCATGGAGACAAGGCTGATAAGCGCACGTGGCTGTAGGAGTTTCTGTTACATAAGAAAATACGAGAACCGTGACAGTGTAAATTAATTTTATTTTTCCCTATTTTAATCCTATGAAAGTGTGGAAGATGAATATAGAACTTTATAAGACCCGTCGACCACCACCGGCAACTGGCGGTTTTGCTAGGGAATGACGGTTGGCTGAAAATAGAACGCAGAAATATGCGGCGTATAGCACATCTTACCATCTCGCTAGGTCCACGACTTCTAAACTGTCTGTGCGCCAGGACGTCTCAGGACTCTACCTGACGCAAAATGCGACAGAGTATGCATGTTTACCCCATAGGTAGCTTGCGTATCACGAGAATTCTCCCAATAAGAATGCGGGAAATGGGGAAATAAAAGTGGGCGTACGCCTATCGTAAGCAACTGGCCAATGTTTTGTTCAGCGTGATATAGATAGCCGAATTGTAGCGAATAGCGGTATTTATGAACCCAGCTCAATGCAAGGCATGCATTGTGCTTTGCTTTTTAAGAACGCTTCCTGATAATCCGCGAAGCGCGTGAACCATGATCCGTCACATAAGCCAGTTTTAAATAGGCTATCGAAAAAGTGTTGACCGTCTTTAACTTAAATTTGAAGCAAACATTTTTAGTATAATATTACAAAACTAAATAAATGCCATTTTGATATTTGTCAAACTTTCTAGTAACATCTTCTAAACCATCACCGTATTTCCGCGACTTCTGGGCGAAAAATTGATAACTGATTTTTGCATTTGGCCATTGAAAGTAGCTTAAAACAATTAAAGGAGTTCTGCAGAAACAAATTGTAGTCGGTTGTGCCAGATCTGGGCTATCCGGCAGATTCCCATCCATGTTCTCCCAATTTTTACTTAGTATCTTACGATGTATGCGGTCGGATATTGTCCCAGTGGGAGACGACGCCTTTTTTTTGTTCATTCGTCCTGGTCGATTTTTTTCAGTGGTTTGTAGTCTTATTAGCTATTGACAGTAAAAGTCCGAGTTAATTGGTTTGCCAGGTGTCATACACGATTCCTTTCCAGTTCTTCAAACATGTAGCATCATTATTTTCGGCGTTAGTTTGGGCTTTGTCATAGATTGTGGAGAACCTTTTTTTATTTGTGCGTTATTGCCGATCATGGTTCCCTTTTCACCACACGTGATCAACAGGTCTAGAAATATCTTCATTTTATTGCGCTTCCATAGATTTAGCGACAATTCATGCGGCACCCAAACATCGAGCTTCCTTTTGCAGCTAGGTTTCTTCAGAACAGTTTGGCTATGGATGTTTAGTTCCTTGTCGATATTATAGCAACTCGGATACCTCAATCTTGCTCAGCTTACAAAATAATTTCATATCATCAATAACTTTTACCGTAATTGGTTGATTAGTACGAGGAGCATCCTCTACATAGAAATTCCTAGAACAAAAGCGTCAAAACCATCTTTGGACCGTTTTTTCGAGCGACGCCCCTTAGTTATAAACGGCATAATTTGGGCGGCATTTGTTTTTATTGTATTGAAGTTGTAAATTACAACAATGCATTTGTATGAGTTCCATTCCTCTTCAAAGGCTCTATCCTAAGAGTTGTAAGTATACCCACGATTTTAGCCTATCTGCTACTCTCAGCTTTCAGTTGGCTTCAACGTCGAGTTAACGCGATTCGTACTACGTGAGACACATGACTTCAAAGCCATCTAGCTATAAAAAAGAACAATACTGTTTTAATAATATAAATTGGAATTGTAGTCTATATGTTCTACGGTTATGATTGATGTTGTAAGGTTTATTAAGCCGTTAAAACTTAGGAAATACGTAAAATTTTTGGTGCAATAATTTTTCTGAAGCCTATGAATAGAACACAACTGTGTTCTCAGCTTTCGCCACAGCTGAAGGCGGATTTATTTTTACATTTTACAAAGACAATTGTTTTCATATTACTAGAAATAGGAAGGATCATACTGTTTAAACCTGATACGCAACTGAAGACAAAAGCGCTTGCAGGGCTGACGTCAATTTTTGAACCCTCTATGGCACAAGAGGCGTTTATCATATGATGTATAGCCCTAGGTCATTGTACACACAAAAACGGCAATACCTGGTACCTACATAAGATAAACAAGCACACCCGAGAGAAGTGTGCATTTTGAAGCAGAAACCTGTGCAAGTTTTCACCAAAATATTTTCATATTATTGCTATGGCCTATTTGCTTAGAATGTCAAATATTGTTATTTTTACGCAGAATTTAGTATCCATGACGTGGCACACAGTTACGGTCGATTCAGACATTGTCGTAAGGTGCTGTCATGCCAAGCTATTGGTTCGCTGAATGCTGCACAGATGGGTGACTCAGCTCAACGGCAATGTCCGCGACGTTTCTTATATTTTATGCGGTCTTGATAATTTAAAAAACAACTCACACATCGCGCAGTTTTGTTTAACAGCCTTTTTGTGCAGCAATAATTGCGATGCACTAATAATATTATATTAATTATATACCTTAATGGGTCGAAAAAATGCGGAAATTTGTCGAGTGCACAAAACAGATTCCTTAACGTTCTGTTTAACATGTAAACCGCCGCATTTGGCCTTGATACCCCTCAAACGGCTATATGCATTTGTTGCCTATTTAGTCGGCAGAATACTTAGACTACCGACACATTTTGCATTACAGATTAGGCAAGCTCACTGTTACGAACTGCATCATTTATTAATACCGACCTCAAGGCGGAGACATTTGGGAAATAACGTTACCCTGTGCCCAAGGATACACTTATATTATAAACATACATATACACTATAAAGGTGTACTTTTTCTTCACAATTACTGTTTTTTTTCTGAATTTTTCAACAGAAAATTGACTTAGAATTTTTTAAATACTTAAGAGATACTAGTTGTTTTTTCAAGCCTCTATCTGTCTAATGAGCAACCAAAATCAGTTTCATTGTTAAAAAGGATATTACCTATATTACGCCTATGTTACCGAGTTAATATTTGTTATGGATTTAAAATTAAAAGTTGTTAGCACTACTTAGCCCGTACTTAACCTTAACTCCTTACGTGATCATTATCATGCACTTTACAAACAAATTCCTTAGATCCCATATGAGATATGAATTAGTGAACGTGTTAACATTAGTTGATTATACCACTAATATCTTCCAATTTGTTGCTAATAATGTGTTACAATTACATATATACCAATTAATCTTCCTTCGATCTAACCTTTAATCGTGCACAACACTCTGTTTTAGGGGGGGGGCATTGTTGAAGACAACGTCAAATCCTGGCTATCACCTGATGATACCGTTGATAACAACGTATCGTTCAATTCAAATTACGATGCAAACGGACGAAGTGAAAAATGTCCCTTGCGGAACTTCGGGAGGCGTCATGATCTACTTTGACCGCATCGAAGTAGTTAACGTTTTAGCACGCGACAGCGTCTACGAGATTGTGCGGAACTACACAGCTGATTACGACAAGACGTTAATCTTCAATAAAGTGCACCACGAGCTTAACCAATTTTGTTCGCGGCATAACCTACAGGAAGTGTACATTGATCTGTTCGATCAGGTAAGGACAGATAAGGCCTCTATATACAAATAAACCCAAGTGTTTATATTTACTACGTCTGTTATGATTTGTTGAGCAATGATACCAATATATATGAACGTTGGAATGACGCTGTGTTTATAACTGATATATGATCTTACCTTTTATTATGTAATGCATAACAAGGTGTTTTGCAGTCGTATTTAGTATGCAGCGAAGTATATTTTAGATTATAAGATGAAAATCTTACGGCCAAGTTCATTGTTGAGTCCGAAGTTTCTACTTGAGCTATTAGCTTTGGATGTCTACGTACTATATCGCTACCCACTAGGTTTCACCATTCACCTTTATGATACATAGGAGCACCAAGCACTTACAACATATGCCCATTTTTTTAAGCTAGAAACACGAGGCTCATGCACCTTTTCACCCCTTTTTCGTATGCGATCCGTACTGTACGTACGTAGCAAGCACGATTCACGCCTCCTTATATCCTTTTCGGTATTGGAGTCTTCTTGTTACAGTTTTCCCATCAGTAATTTCAGTAAACTCAGCAGGGGGTTCTACTGTTTTATCCCACTTTTTTTTTTTCAGCAATTCGATTACATTATTTCAGTGAGTCCACTACCTTGTTCCGATCTTTCAACTACCCTCATTCAAATTCAGCATTATTTTTTTATCATCGTAAGGTCTACACGTCCTCCTCTCCCCTGTGTCACTTATGTCGTGTTTCCATTGCAGATAAGCGAGAGGCGTGATATCGCTTACCCGCTGCGTTTTTTGGGTATTCTGATATCTCAAAATGAAACTGATTCTAGCTTTGAACACTTGATGTAAATATTGCATTCGAGAAACGAAGCTAGAAAGAAATGTGGAGACCCCGGTGTTTGCAGAAATTCGCAATTGTTTTTTAGAAGAAGACTTTTTTTTAGAAGAATAGTTTTTTTAAGACCCAAGTCTGTGCCAGTTATATAGAGCTCGAAAAACCAACGAGTATTTGCATTCACATGTTTTTTAAATCTTCAAGTGTGGTTGGGAGAACCTCTCAAAAAAGAATGTAGTACTCCTCATTTTTGTCAGAATCTATGCGAAGGTTTTATTTTTCTCACAAGAACTATCTTTTCAAGAGATGTCGTTTTCACTACAGTACTTAGTGTTCAGATGAAATCTACAATCAAAATGTATAATATGTATATTTATTTACTCGTCAAAAAGTATTGGATTGAGTTTTTAAAGCTTTTGAACTAAACGTATAGTTAATATATGTACTAAATGGTTAGCTTTCGACGGTTTTGAGCCCTGTTGACAACCGTAAAGGATCGAAGATACTTTAGAGATCTCGTAGTAAATACCTTTTGAACTAGTTGTACGAGAATGATTTTTTATTTTTCGTACTCTCTTTTATCTTTTACACAATTGTTCCAGTGCTTTAATAGTTTCTAGTTATCTTTTTACCTACCATTCGCATTCCCATGTGTAACTTCTCTATCTATGGCTTCTCTATGTGAAAGTAAATTATTAGTAAGGTAGATTTGTTTAGTAGTTACTTTTTTAGGGCGAGGAAAGCCCTGAACTTAGATTGAGAGAATAAGCAGGTTGTAGCCAGATTTGCATGTTCTTTTGCTTAATTAAAGAAGTGATCGAGGCTTGGCGATAAGATCAGGCATTATTGTTAGATAACCAGTACTTTTGATTGCCAATAGTCCGTAAATTTTTGGAGGAACGCGGGATAGCGAGCTGTACTTATTGCTTATTTTCGGCGAATATGTCATAGGAGCAGATGCTCCTAATCTCCGTTGTAAATACTATCATCACCTGACTAACCATCTAATCGACGCTGCCATCGAACTCAATTTTTTAGGAGTGACGCCATTCTCTCACTTGGCCCCTTTCCGGCTGATCGTAGAATGAAATCAGGCAGATTTCATTATGATTAGAGTTCCGCGAATTGCACGTGAAAAACACTGCACACATTTTCAACCAGCCCGGAGTCAATTTCTTTTACTCAGCTTCCGCATTTTCGGTATTTGAGTTCTAATGCTGTAAAATGTTATTTGTGGAATGTCCGTCTTGGCAGACAGAGACCTTGGACTCAAAGCTCTAGGTTCGTGAAAAGCGGCCATGTATTTTGTCCTTCTAATTTGACATCTAGTGACTTCTCCGCTGATCTTCAACTTTTCAATCACCATTTTTGGAACGGTTCCATCATTCACATACTTCTGCTTATTGCTTCCCTGCCAGATGTTTCACCAGTCTTCAACGAATTTGGATAGCTCTGTGGTCACTGAGCAATAAAAATTTGACGACTTAGATATTTTCCAAAACTGAGATATTTTCTTTTTTTACGTATTTCTCCTGGAGTAAACTCAGTTTTTACTCATAAGCTTCTAGAAGACTGGAATATTTAGCAGCCAAATTTCGGTAGCAGCGCACAGTTTGAAAGTTAATCAAATTCAGAGTTTGCCATGTTCTTTTGTGATAACCTGATATATAAAATTGCTACACTAATGTGGTATTCATCATAAGCACACGATATGAAGGAAACGGTTTGAAAGTGCTGGGAGTGTGGTCTAAACACACTTATAATCTTCTACATTGTTTTTTGTTACTTTCAGATTGATGAAAATCTTAAAACGGCGCTTCAGCGTGACTTGACAATATTAGCTCCGGGCTTGTATGTTCAGGCTGTGCGAGTAACAAAGCCAAAGATCCCTGAGACGATTCGCCGCGATTATGAGGCAATGGAAGCTGAGAAGACAAAGCTTCTGATCTCGGTACAGCGTCAAAAGGTCGTCGAAAAAGATGCTGAGACAGAACGAAAAAAAGCAATTATTGAGGCTGAAAAAAATGCTCAAGTGGCTAAAATTCAGCACGAACAGAAAATTTCAGGTGAGTCGCTACACTATGGTAGGCTGCACTAACCGCACTTCTTCTGTTTTTCTATTTCAGTTAAATATACTCTACAATTACTTTTAAGATACATTTATGGAGATATTATTGGAAGTTATTGTTTTTTACCATATAAATGAAAATCATCTTATAACAATATCCTAAAACAGGTGACAAAGACCAAAGCAAGACACAGAAGTCTGGCCATATGTAGAATGAATTGTTTGTAGAGCATGTTGCTTCGCTACAGTCACGCTACCAGGTTATTTGATATAATTATTAAATTATTTGGCAAACTATTGTATTAGCAAATTCTATGTGGCCGATAATGTCTAGCAATTAAACATTTTTGCTATCTTTTGGAGGTGTTTTTTCTAATAAATTTTATTTAATTTACGATTACTATTTCTAGAACAAGAAACGTTGAAAAAGATGAGCCTCATTGAGGACGAAATGTACCTATCGAAGCAGAAGGCTTTGGCGGACGCGAATTTTTACGCGAAAGAGCGCGAAGCAGCCGGCAATGCTCAACTGCTCACGAAGGAATATCTTGAACTTCGCCGATATGAAGCCATTGCTGCAAACAACAAGGTTTACTTCGGTAAGGACATACCGAATATGTTCTACGAGACATGTTCGAAAGAAGAGCAGCCGGTGACTAAACCAGTGTCAGTTAACAACATCAGTAACAACAGCTAATGCATCACAGCAAAATATCGTATGTTATTCTTTCAGTCTTAAAAAAGGACGGGTGTAGTGCAAATGGGGCGAACATGACTGTATTAAAATTGTGACTCTTGTAAAAGCTGCACCGGTTTACAGCCGTAACGCTGTGAGTGCTCGCGATTTCCGAGTGATGATGCGAGTCGTGTATGTAAGGGTGACTGTATATGTGATTTCATTGAATAATCAAGCTTTTTTACATGTAATATAATAAATATATACCAGTAATGTACAGAAAATGATTTGGCGTCTTTATTTGGCATAATATGCATATAGATGTAAAATAAGGAAGTACTTGGCAGACGTCCTTTGTAGACGTTGCAGTCCCCTGCATGTAGATGCAAATGTAACTTATATTAGTTTAGCTTGAATAGTAATTATATATATATATATATATATATATATATATATATATATATATATATATATAGCCAGCCGCTAGAAGCGTTCGCGCTAAAAAAACTGGCTAGTTAAGGACTCCGTGGTTATAGGGCGGAGAATGATCAATTAGAGCTAACAATTAGGCTGGCAAGCAGAAATAAACATATATATCGCAATGTTAAGTGATACCGAACAAAACGGTTTGCTGTAGAATGACCTGGTGTACGTAGCCAGGGAATTAATGCAGCGAAAAGTTTAGCCTTGGGCTCAACTGCATTTTAGGTTTTAATTTAATGTTTAGATTAAGTCATGCTTATTAGAAACCGTTACGAAGGACCATTCAGTCCAGTTTAGTTGTTCGAAAATAAGTGACGAAAAATATTGCTTAGAGTAGTATCAGAAGCTCCCTAGCTGGGCTCGAGTATAAATTAACTTGGCTATTGGACACTATACGTCATAAAGGTCATTCTAAGGGTAATATACCACGGCTACTTTGGCAGACTACTAGCCGGTTGCCGCCTATTTAGTGCTGTACCTTTCAATTCTTCTTAATAAATGAAACAATTCGTTTAGTAGCACGTTTAGTAATTAAAATTGAATCAGATTTTATAACTATTTTACTAAAAATTTCTGAACTAATCTATGCAACGCAACAGCCCTCAACAAGACTTCCTTCACCGTAACAGCCCATAACTTAGCGTCAGTTCACCTCGTTTTGTACCTCTTTGAGCGAACACGAGACCTTCAATTTAAGCTGTTTTCTTACAGAAGTAGGTAGAACAACTAAGAAATATTTTATTTAAGATTTAGGATTATTGCTAAAAAGTATCAAAGATATAATTAACTACTTATTTCTAAACGGCACAGTATAGTAGCTGCATGGATAGTTACTCGAACAGCAAACTTGAGAAATACTAAAGACTCCACTACGAGAACCTGGTCATTTATAATTTGCCGACCTGTTGCAAAAATAACTCACAGCCACTTAGGCGTAAATTTGAAAGTGCAAAATTGCACCTGAGGTACGGAGCTTCTGGTTGTCATCTTGTTCGTAAAGCTCCTAGAAAAATGTATTCCATACCATCTTCTGTCCTACTTGCATCCGTATAACCTTATCTTTCGCCTTCGCACTGTATATTCAATAGAGCTAGTTTTATGGTCTATTCTACAGGATGTAAGATCGTTCGTGTTGGTCGATAATGCTGTAACAGGTACCTTTCTTGTTATGGGAAGGTCGTTCAACTATCCTAATAACGATACGTTCACTCACATACTATCATATATGGGAGCTAAGCAGAAGCTGTTTATACGTTCGACCCCCTTTCAGGTCGACAATACCGGGGTTCCTTCAACATCCGTTGTCTCTAAAAATAGATCGACCAAAGCACTATTTTTGGACCTGTTCCATATTATATATAGATTCTATTCACCTTGTAGATCATCAGATATGTAACGCTGCTAAAAATAATTTTAGTACTTATTCACCACCCGAAGTTTGCTACCCAAGACATTCGAACCTTCTGATTTGTAGTTCTGTACGGGGTGCGCAAACGCACTGAATACCCAAGTTGCGTCTTTTTAAAACCTGGAACTAGATGCGGCATATTTTTTAAACTAAAAAATTTATTTGCCTTTAAAAATATATAAAAGGGAGCCTTTGTTTGCGTTGGTAACTAGCTGTGCTAAAGGATGTTATAGAGCACGGCCATGATTTAATTGTGATTTACCATATAGAAACGGATTCGGCTCTATTCGAAAATAATTCGTAGATAGAAATATTACTCTATCTTGCATTAGCTGTATAAACAAATATGGCAATAACTTCATTTAAATGTAATCTAGTGTCATCGGTGAAAACATTCACGGAAGGTAGACAGTAAAAAAATAACCTACAAAAATTGTGTTGTACTGTGTGCACTAGAAGCTAGGATCAATGCAATGTATTGAGAGAGAGTATATTACATGCACATATACGAGACGGGAAAGCGAAAAAGTAACTTCCTAAAAACAAAAATGAATAACAATATGTAATGGAAATCTATTCGAGTACTCTCCCGTAACATACATATATATGTAAGGTGGTGCCTTTGGTTTGTCGCCAATCAACAAGCGCCAAAGAGAATCAAGCATCAGAGTTCTTTGCACCGATGAAGCTTTTATTCATAGTTATATGACAAGAATTGTTTTGCGAGGTGCTCCATTGCAATGTCTGTTTGAGACACAATATACGAATTAATGGAAAAAAAATTACCACACTTAACTTCTGAACATTACATTAAAACTTACCATTATTTCCGAAGGACTAGTATCCTCTACATTGGGTCGAGAGTCTACTTCTTTGGGCCTAATCAAATTGTAATTTACCTAGAGTTATTCTGAAACAAGACTTGTGAAAAGGCTTGCAGAGGCTCGTAACACAACACTTTAGATACCTGGGCAGGATTCGAGAAATAGTCAATGTAAGTGGTGAACTTATACCTCAACGAGTGCACGATAGCTACTCTTAATCTCAGCAAACACTTCGTACCGACTGAAGTAGTGACACACGTTTTTGAAGATATCAAATATTTCTGCCGATGAGGACAGCCTCACCAAAAGAAATTAGCACTAAAAATATCATAATTATATAATAATAAAAATAATAATAGCATTAACATATCAGATTCACAAAGATTAAAAGGACTTTTATAGACCAAAGATAGCTAAGCCGGGTGATCAAAATAATTGAGCAACAGTCTCCATTGTCAAAATACTCCATTGTCAATATTTTTCGTGTTATACCATCATTACGGCTGGCTCCGAGCACCGAAAGAAATGCTTTTGTGCTTTGTTTCAAGCCTGAACTACGTGTCCCCAAGCCTAGTAAATAAAGACGTTACCCTTTGCACTATTACGGAAAGTCCATTTTATGATCAAGCGGCCTCTAATGCTTGAGTTCAAATAGACGTGCGCAGCAACGTCGAAACGTCCTAAGCTCGACAGCTAACCTTCTAGCTTTAGTCCTGTTTAGAAAATCACACATATAGAATCTGAGATATCCGAAGTGTTAGGAAACATGTGCCATCATTTTTATTGACGGTTATTATGATTCACAGTCGCTACATTGAGTGTTTATCGTGGTATAGGCAGATAACCTCGGTGAAATACAATCACTTTCCTTTTACGAAGTTTACGAAAATATACGATTGTGAGGAACAAAAACGTCATGTGTTTACTAACTGCAACGGGATTTGTTTCAGCATATCGCTAGACATTTCTCTTTTGTGGCACCATATGAAAGAGCAGGTTTTTAACTTCACGCAGGCACCTCTAGACTTCCAGTTATAATGGAAAGTTTTTAAACGATCTCGTGTTACAGCAGTGAGGTAAAGCAGAGTAATTTACAATTCGTAATCATTCGAATTATTATAATTACTAGTTACCTTTAATCAATTATTCCGGGAGACATTTTTTTTATGCACGTACAGTTTTTCGATTGAACCGGTATTTCTCACGTACTTCTGCGTTGATTGTTGTCCCATCAGTTCTTTCTAACTTGTATTTTTCAGCTGTAAAATGAATGTCGATTCCCGCTGGTCCTCCTCGTTTGCCAAACCCTATTATCTTAAAATGGATTGGCCTTGAACATTGTCACACTCTTCATAGTAATATACCAGTTATATAACGGAGAAGTTTTACCTTGTGAAACCAAGCTGATTGATTCCAGTTAGTATACCGGCTTGATCTTTGAACTAACCGCAACTACCCTTTCAAAAGGGGGACGCTTGCAATACCAGCCACATGCGTATGTAGGCTACCACAAGATAGACTTCAATCAGTTAATGTATTGATCTCAGTAAATTTTCCACCCACAATGTTGCCAACACATAACTTTGGCATAGGGCAAATTTCTATTCGTTTGAACACATTGCCGAACAAAACACTGTCTGCGCACAAACTACGGTTTGGCAAATTATCTAATATCGTAAGATAGAATGAAACGCTCGATTATCGAAGTTATTTCGGCTGAATTGAAGTACGAAGCAGACATATAGTTAAGAGGTACTCACCGCAAATGATATCCAGTGTACATTTGGTGATCATGGGTACGATGTCAAAGCTTGTATCGGCTTTCCTGTTGAGACATTGCACGAAAACTTCCGCCTGCTCGTTCATAACAGGGAGAAAATCTTCTAGGATTCGAAAGTGAAAGGCAGGGGTAAGCATCTTTCGGCGGCAACGCCATTTGCTGCCCCAGCTGTAAAAAGGAAATAACGAAGAGAAGAAGTTGAAACAATCGAAGCACATACGCCATCCAGGCAATATATCGTATCCGTTTTGGCCTATCTGTCAGTTATTGCCGTGGATATTACCATCAGCAAAATTTTTAAGTTTACATCAGCTCGCCTTGGAAGTATGACGTAGGTCTACTTTCTAAGCGTACAAGTTTTGTTCGTTCTATCAAAGCATTCGTCGTTTTGATTTGCTGGTTGAAATAGCGTCTTGGTTTAATACATCTATATAAATCGAACTGAGCAGGGTGAGTTCAGATTTGGGGGGTAACCGATGTCTGGTTTTAAAAACACATTTTTTAAAACATGGTCGTATTGTACCGCCAAGCGTCCTACCCAAGCGAAATTCGATGTTAAAAATCTTTATCAAACCTATATGGTTGCATATGCACCGAAGAAACTGAACATGATATACACATTTTTAGGTCATAGCTAGCCCATAAATATTACACTTACGATAAAATAATAGTATAAGAAGATTTCACTCACATTACCTCAGGCGCAGTCTCAGAACTTTCCATGCGGAATGGCAAACAGTTTTCGGAAAAGCGAAACTGATATCCTGTATTGTCTTTTTCGACAGAGGCATCATAAAACTTCACATAACTTCCAATTTAAACATGGGTAACCAGGGGTGTTGAAGCTGGCGAATTTTGTGGACATGCGCGGGCCAACCTGGCTGGGTTTTGCGTTTCCGGATTTTTTTTACGACCCAGTTTGGCCTATACCTGGATTGTGAAAAGGTTCTGTTGAGGCCCAATATTTCAAGTCGATGTGCATTAGAAAAGCAAATTTTAATTTTAGGGGATTCACTTTACAGTTTAAATCGGATATGAGCTTTTCAGAAAGAATATATCTTTGTGCGTACAAATTGCATCAAGTATTCGCAAACTTAAAACATGAAAAAGGCTGCTGCAGCCATTGCGGATTTACATTTCTTACAACTATCTATAAGTTGATAATGCCTATTTTTGGACGATCTTTTATAAGTTTACATTTAACCCTTCATCCAATCTAAGCCTAGGTTTGTATTTTTGCGTGAGGCAGGCAAGGAAAAATTTCACAATCATTCACCCTTTAGAGTCAACTGACGATGCTTAAAGTAAGGGTGCACCAGCATATATTTCGTGCAATATGAATTTCAATCTATCATTCTTAGGCTAACGCAGCTATTTTAATCTTGCTGTCAAACTCATACTTCTGAAACTCGAATCTGAAGTTTCGAACTGTGAAGAGTAACGAAGATTTTTAAGCAGTTCGATCAACATGGTCTCAGGTGAATGAGTAAGGCAAATTTCGTTGCGTCCATGTTGTTATTCCAATCGTGTTTGCATCAGAGAGAAAAAAAGTCGCCCGTGCCTTTGCAGGGACGAGGCGGCTAAGGACAACGCAAATCAACTGTGTAAACTTAATTGTCATAGGTACTAAAATAAGCTTCCATCAAACGGCACGATCGTTTATTTTTATTTAAATAGTTGTTAAAGTGCCTTTTCCACCCCGCGTGTAATTACATTCATGTGTTACCCATTTCGTTGATAGTAGAGCCTACCAACTTGTTAGCATTGATGACATTATGCTTCTAAACGTTTCTGTTGAAAGCGTCAGGTATCCGTGGACAGCCCAATCATTTTCATAATCTTTGTTTTTAAATCGCTGCAATACTGTCACATGTTTAAAACGCCAACAACCATATCCTTGCGGTTTTGCCCAGGCAATTCAGCTAAATCACCCAAAACGATTATTACGTTATGACATACGTCAAAGTTTTATTTGATTTTGTAAAAATCATTAAATATGCATAACCTGCCGACGAGATATGCCGTTCGCAATAGGATACAGTAGCTATTATCAGTAGCAGCTACCAATTACCCCAAGTTAGTTAGGAAAATGGCTACATGATGGAATTCACAGTTAGCTTTAGTTTTTTTGCATTAATACCATTTAAATTAGTTATTAATTATTGTCTAATATTGCTAGATAGTCCTGAGCTCTGGTGACCTGAAAGAAATTGTTCGTTGATAACACAGCGTTTCGATTTGTTTTGAAATTGAGAGGTCATTGAGCATTAAAAAAGGTTACAGTTTAGGACGTAGTTGCTACAAGAAATCCCCTATATGATTGCTCCGTTATATATATCTCCTCTATGATTATCGTTTTATAGGTCTGAGAACACCCAAACGGATCAAACGAAAATTCTTCTATATAGTCTTAAAAACCATATTAAAAGACAGTGCGAAAAACTAATAACAGGCCGAAAAACCGTCCTAATTTATTGATCGCGCTCACAACTAGATTTCAGTTTGTCAACGTCAATTAATTGCATAATTTTCAATACGCACACGCGAGCCGCTACTCTGAATGAGTCGTAAGCTATGAAACATTAAACTAAAATTAAAACAAACCAATCCAAGTGTAGTGGACAATGAACAAAACATTTCGCAAGACTTACCTCTATAGTTTCTTTGTAAGCATAAATAATGAATAGATGTATAGATACGTAGAAAAGTAGCGGGGTAAGTCTATGAACTATGAATGGGAAGAAGTATATAGTGAAAATTATTATAATTAATTATATATGAAGTTTTCGCGCAAGACGATGCCTTGAAGAAATTGGCAGATCGTCCATAGCAGTCTAAGACTTTCGTGTGGCCACTTCTGTCAAGCCAAGATGAAAGGTGAAGATACGCACTGTGGAGAAGGCGGACAACAAGCCGGCACGAGCCATGAATCTAGACGACAAAATTGTCGACGAGGTGGTACTGCCGGATATTTCGGCCTGGCCAAAATTTACGAAGATTTTCTTCAGACAGATTTGGAATTTCATTCACCAGGAGGAAAGCTGCCAGGGGCCAATTGCAAACCTACCGAGAAGCGTGGACTTGTTTCGTTGATCATCGCGTAAGTAGCAGGTAACATCCTGTTGGTACTATCGGGCACTTTTTACGATACCGACGTTGTGTCTCGCAATTCATTCAGTGGACCGCTTTTGATAGTTCAAGAATACTAGGTTTATTTTAACGACCTATATTTCGACCTTTGTTTCGATATTTATAGCTGACGTCATCGAGTGATGCGGTATCTGCTACGAGAGCTGCTGCCTTACCATACTGTTCTGTTCTTATTGGGATTATGCTTACACACTGGACTTTACTATGTTCGGTGGAAAATACGAATCTCGTAATCGCTGACGAAGGATCTAAAATGCACAATGGAAAAAAATGCATTTATACTGGGATAATAATACTAGGGTACCTTTCCAAGCTTGGGATTTGTTGCAAAGTAAAATGTTGTGGCCTAAACGATACAGCAGATCTAATGCCTTTCGGCACAGTGCACAGAGAATTAAGCTGTGACAACAACTTAAAAGAGCTACGATGCTGTCTTCGCGCATTAATGCCTTGGTACTTCTCATCGAAGTGGCGTACGCTCTATTAGTCATTTTTCAATTTATTAACTTGTTTTTGACCAGCTCTTCAGCCATTGGGTTCAGGTATCTCGGCAATTATTAGTCGGCCGACATGAAGTTAGTATTCATCCGTTGGATTAAATGAACGTCAGGATATATGTAAATTGTGTGTTGCGTTGTCTTGGATCTGAAGCCTAGAAGAGACTAAGCACGTTCTATTACCAAGAATTCATATATGGGATATTGTTTCGCCAATGCAGTAACGAGTACAACTACCGAACTAACTTCAGCCAACGGCGAAGAGATGAGGATGCTGATCAACGCTTTTACGCGCTTGTCATACGTGATTATGAGGTAATGTAGGCGAGACAAATTCGCGCAATTTTTCACTAGCATCCAAGCTAGCTATAGGCTTGTATGGTCGAAGCTTTTACCTATACACATGCTGTATGTGGCGATGTAAGTATATTTATTGTTATTAGGTCAGACTCAATAATAGCAAATGTACCATTCGGTTTGTATCTTTAGGAAGTCCGCAGACAAATATTTACATAAAGAAACTAAAAAACGACGTAATTAGTAGATCCAATTTTTGGTGGATTGTGCTTATGTTGGCATTTTTGCTATGGGCCCATCTTAAATCTATACTCCGTATAGCGCTACAGGATTCATGTAAAAGAAACTTTAAATTTGATTGATTTAATCATAAAGAAATAATCTATTTCACTTGGAAGAAGCAAGAAATAGGTGAGCATTTCGTGTCGTGAGTTTACAAGCCCACCAGTTAACACCTTCATGGGCGCACAGTATATACATATACATACATCAACAAAAACTAACTATTTTAGAGATAACCCTTTTTCCATATTGTTTTCCTCACACCAACATGTTAATGTACCACCTTATTGCTCCAATAATATCTGATAACAGATATTGTGCTTCTCATATTGGACTGTTTATAAAGACAGCCCGTATTTCTACAGTTCGCGGCAGCGCATTAAAGTACCAACTATGACAATTACATTCTGAGCTTAAATACCCTTTCCTTTAGGCAAAAAAAAAAAAGAATATCTAAAGCGGTAAGCAGTATGTCACGGTGGAATGGGTGCGCGTAATCTTCTTTTAAAAGTCTTACCGATACTTTGCTCAATTAGTTATTCATATGAGGTTTTGACCAGATGTATAACCCTTTTTACTAACAGAACTGGCGATAAGTTACGTTAAGAAAGAATTGAGTTGTTTAAGTAGGTAAAATGATAGATCAGGATTTTAACCCTCAATAACGTCTGAACAAGAGCTCTTTACACTTTTCTTTTTCCGATACTACAAACTTGACGACACTCAATGCGAACAAACGGGGGCTTAATAATGCTAAACGATTTCTAGTTGCTATTGCATATTGTCTAATTGTTTTCTTACATACAAAATTTACTTTTATATGGCTAACTTTGTATGTAAATGTACGAAGATACGTTCGTTGTCATATACGCATATTATCTTGCGGTAATTAGTCTCAAAAGGAAACATGTTAACAATTTAGTTGTAAGATTGGCACGGAAT